ATGTTATGTTAATTGGAATGATCAAAAAACCTTACTGATAAGGTGTGAGTCTATCATAGCCTGAGGGGAGTGCAGGAGCAAGTTATGTAGATATGGGATGAGAAGGAGCATTGATTTAGGCAGTGATGTTAGCAAATTCTGAAGTGAGAATGTGGTGATCAGGTAAGAGAAAGAATCCTGGTGGAGGCTGAAGCCATAGAGGTAGCCCAGAAACCAGTTTCTAATAAGTCTAAGACAACCCTAGACAGAAGGTGTGAGCTAGAAGAGACACCAGCCAGCATTTATCTTGTATACAATGACCAGCAAGCATAAGGAAGAATGTTTAGCCAATTTATAGAGCAAAAAATAAAAACAAGGGATCAGCAGATGGCATAATGGCTACGTCGCTGGACTCCCCTGACCAGGGTTCGAGTCTCGGACCCAGTGGCTTAAACTCCCACAGATCCTGAGAGGAGAATGGAGGAGAAGGGATTGCGGCGTGGCCACCCCCCCGAAGGGGGGGGGTGATTTCTCGCTTTCTGTCTCTCTATCTCTGTCTTTCTGGCAAGCACACGTGCCCTATAGCAAAATCCTCCTCTCTAAAAAGAAAAAAATAAAATAACAAATAAAAACAAAGTTATCTTGTTTTTATTAACACAATTTATTACATGTCACACTGGTGAAAATAGAGGAAAATGGACTCTATCATATTCTGCTCATGAAGAGTATGCATTGGGACAATTATCTGAACAATACTTTGGTAGAAATTTTAAACATTAACGCTTTGAAAGAAAGGATGTATGTGTTTTTTTGGCCTCCTTTTTGCTGGCTAGGATGATAGTAATGGCAGGAGCGCTAGCAGCCATCTTGAACTAAGAAGTAAGCTTTGAAATAGACGGCGTACATTGCGGAGCATACATTGAGCTATATGGAAAAGTCAGCCTAGAGTGAGGACACCATGGAGGTCTCATTATAGCCTAGACTCTCCCCAGACTTTTAGACTCATGCTATTGATACCATTGGTTCTTTACACATGTATTACTCCCTTAATTTTTTTAAGCAAAATTTAAAATGGTAAAAAAAAAGTAATAAATATAAAACTTTATGAATATGTAGGCAAAGCTATGAACATTGTCAAGGAACACACAAATCTATAATTTGAAGATAATAAAATTTTACATAAATAATTAAAAAAATAAAAACCAAAGGGGAAAGTTCTCTAAATCAATGGATGTTCACTAAAGCTGCTAAATGCAAATTTATACATATTTAAAAATCAAAACCAGTGAACCCGTTTGTTTTTTTGTTTTTTTTTTTTTTTTTTTTGGAGAGGTTTTTCACTATAGGGCACGTGCGCTCACCAGACAGACAGAGGGACATAGAGACAGAAAGCGAGAAATCACCCCTCAGCGGGGATGGTCACGCCACAATCCCTTCTCCTCCATTCTCCTCTCGGGATCTTGGGCAAGCATGCATACACGCCCGGCATAACTTTTAAGCCGGGACGCAAACCGCGATCGACTACGTGGGAGTCCAGCGACATAGCCATTATGCTAACTGCTGGTTCCCTCTTTTCTTTTCTTTTTTAAATAATTACTTATTTGTTTTAATTTGATCAGAAACAGAGCAAGAGATGGAAAGTGAGAAAGCAAGCCACCATGTCTAGGACTCAAACTGCTGTCAACCATGTGGGAGTCCAGCACTCTTAACCACCACACCACCTGCTGGCCCCTCTCTTTTCTTTTTTTAACATACTTGGCAGTAATTAAAAAACTATTTAGAAAAAAATAACAAAATGCAATGTCTAGGAATATTCTTATCTAAAAATTTGAGGAAGCTTTAGAAAGAAAAATATTTTGATGTAAAGATAAAAAGTAATATGTGATTTGGGACCAGCAGATGGCATAATGGTTATGTTGCTAGACTCCCACAAGGCTGAGTGCAGATCGAGCCCCAGACCTGGAGGCTTGAGACTCACACCTGGCAATTGTGTGAGTGCCCAAAATCCGAAGAGGAGAAGGGATTGTGGAGTGGCCATCCCCTCTGGGGATAATTTCTTGCTTTCTGTCTCTCTGTCTCTCTGGGTAAGTGTATGTACCCTATAGCAAAAATCTGTCTTAAAAAAAAAGGATAATATGATTTAATAAATTCATAAATGGTGCTAGATAGCCAAATGTACATATTTAAATCCCTATTTATCTGAAAACTTATAAAATGCATAAGAGAACTAAGGGATGTTGAACATGGAAGATTAATGATGACTACCACACAATAATTAGCAATATGATATGGTATAAGCTCTGAAAGATAAATCGGATCATGCAACAGCTAGCATTTACAGTCAGTACAATAGCGGGCATGGCATCCATGTAGCAGTGTATCTCATCACTTCATACCATATTAGAGAAGTTAACCAATTTATTAAAATTGCCACCACTATTAATTCATAAATGTATGATTAAAAAGGAAGAGTCATTACACATTGGAGATACTAAGAAGATACAATGATTATCTTATTTTCTATTTTCTAGACGAAATTTCCATGTAGGTAGCAATTTTTGTTTCTTGTATCAGAGGAATAGCAGATTACCTGTTGTGTACTTACAACAACAAGGACCCAACTCCTTTATTTTTCTTGAAGCTGTTTTTTTAAAGTTTTTTTGTCTTAGGCCACATGCACTCACCAGAGAGAGACAGAGACAGCGACAGTGAGAGGAAAAGTGAGAAGTCACCCTACAAGGGGGATTATCATGTCACAGTCTCTTCTCCTACACTCTTGTCTCAGGATCTTGGGCATGCACACATGCACATGTGCCATGTGTGATATTCAAGCCATCATATCTGGGACTTGAACCGTGGTCAGCCATGTAGGAGTCCAGTGACATAATCACTATGCCATATGCTGATCCCGCCTTGAAGCTATTTTAAGTGGATTTTAATCCTTGCAGTCTGACTCACTAAAGTAAATATTAAAATCCAATATCCTTTTTATTGATCCTCCTAAAATAGCCCATAGCACATTCTAAATTCATATTAAAGACAATGTTACAATTAGAGGGACCAGCAGATGGCATAATGGTTATGTTGCTGGACTCCAATGTAGTCGACCACAGTTTGAGTCCCAGACCTAGCAGATTAAACTCACGTGTGTGTGTGTGTGCCCAAGATCCCAAGAGGAGAATGGAGGAGAAGGGATTGTGGCATGGCCAACCACCCTGGGGGCGATATCCCCTCCTGGGGAATGATTTCTCACTTTCTGTCTCTCTGTGTCGTGAACACATGCACCCTATAGCAAAAAAAAAAACAAAAACAAACAAAAAAAAAAAACACCAAAAAAAAAAATAAATAAAAAGACAATGTTACAATTAGAAAAAAGAAGTATGATTCCAAGTGCTTATCTTTGATAACTGCTAATTCATGAAAAAAATCAGTAAAATCCTCAACATAAAATTCAACAGAAAATAATTTAATGCAATTTTGAGAAGGGTAAATTAATGTATTTAGAGAAGGATAAAATATTTTTAAAACAATTATGAAATTATAGATAGTAATATAGTATTTATGCTTAAAAATATAGAAGAAAACCGAAAGGAATGTAATGGATTGTTTTCATTACTAAAAATTTGAATATTTCTACATGTGAGATAATACCACACACAAAATTTAATTTCAGACAACAATCTGAAAAATGTTTTCAAACCTGTGACCATGAGTTCGTATAATTATTAAATATAAATAATTTATACAAATTGGTAAGAAAAACCCATGTGAGTTTTGAAGTAAGATATAAAAACAATATGAATTAATAATTCTCAAAAAAAACTATCTAAAGTCTAAAGATGTTAATAATTAAAGGCCACTGAAGTTCATTATTTTTCACCTAATAAATTCATAACAGTTTAAAAAAGAGAGATTTCTCTTCCTGTCAGTAATTATTGTAGATTACTTGTATGACTATAATTTGGTATAAAATGTTGACAATAGTTTATCAAAAAGCATAAGCATTTACAATTGGTTCTAGTCATTTTTCTTTTTGGAATAGAGCATAAATAAATAATCTTATTTCTAGATAAAAGTAAAAGCATAAAAATATTCATTATCACAGGTATGGAAATAAGTATAAAAAACAATGACTTAAAAGTAGAGAAAAGTTAAATAGTACTGTGTATGCTGGATGGATATTATAAAATGAAAACTCATATTTAGGATTTGTTTTATTGCTATAGCAATAGTAATTTTATTTTACAACAAAATAAAATTTAAAAAATAACTGAATATGGGGAACCAGCAGTTAGCGTAATGGCTATGTCGCTGGACTCCCACATAGTCGACCATGGTTCACGTCCCGGACCCGGTGGCTTAAAACTCACACCGGGTGCGTGTGCGTGCGTGCCCAAGATCCCGAGAGGAGAATGGAGGAGAAGGGATTACGGCGTGACCATCCCCCCGGGGGGGTGATTTCTCACTTTCAGTCTTTCTGTCTCTCTCTGTCTGTCTGGCGAGCGCACGCGCCCTACAGTGAAAATCTCTCCCCCCCAAAAAAAAAATAAAAAATAAAAATAAATAACTGAATATGGGAACCAGCAGTTAGCGTAATGACTATGTCGCTGGACTCCCACATAGTTGACTGCGGTTCACGTCCCGGACCCAGTGGCTTAAAACTCACACCGGGCACGTGTGTGTGCATGCCCAAGATCCTGAGAGGAGAATGGAAGAGAAGGGACTGCGGCGTGACCATCCCCCCTGGGGGGCGATTTCTCGCTTTCTGTCTCTATGTCTCTCTGTCTGTCTGGCGAGTGCACGTGCCCTATAGCGAAAACCTCTCCAAATAAATAAATAAATAACTGAATATATGAAATAAATGAGCTATGTAAAAATAAGTTGAGAATTCCTAAAAGATTAGCAATAGCACTTTTTCATCAAGCACTTTTTATAAGTTGTTTATACTTAAAATTTTTTCCTACAATGAACATGACTTACTTTTATGATAAGATGAGTAAACAAGCATTTTTTAAAGAGAATTTATTTAACATTACTTCATCAATAAATTCACAGTAATTTTAGTCTTGTATGTGGAGGGTACACAGTTATGAAATGGGCATCAAAACATTCTTGATCAAAAAGTGACATCTTAAAATAGACTTATAGAGATCCTAATAGCTGCATTTTTCTAGGAAAAAAATAGAAGAGAACATGAGTAATTAGGGAATTAAATGCAATCCCTACCATGAGACAATTGCTGTGCAAAAAGACCATCTTCCCCTTCAGGAAGCTTCTTATGAAGGCCTCATTGCCTCAGCACAGAGCCAGTCCACTGAGATGGTGGCATAGGCAGGCTCCATCACGAACCAGAAAGGATGTTACTCAGCAAAACTGCCTTTCTGGTGAAGAGGTCCAACACCAACAAAACATAACATTTCCAATTATTTTATTGTGTACATGCATCAGAACTGAATATTCTCCGCTCACAGAGTAGGTCTGTAAGAGAAATTAGAACAGATGGTTTTTCTAACGGCCACCACTGAATCATTCCTTATGCAGCTATTATACTATGACTTAAAGAAAACTTAACCCAGGGTTCCTCTGAGGGTTTTTTTTTTTTTTTTTTTTTTTTTATTATCATCATAATCTTCTTTATATTACATTGGAGAGGGTCTTTTTTAAAAAAGGCAAGGATGTCATTTTAAAATGAAAAAGAAAAGGTAGATAATGACCCTCAGTGACTGATGGGCAGCTGGCATTCCATTGTTTCCCATTCTATCCAGATGTTCTATGCAGACCCTGAGCAGGGAGCACCCAAGTCTATTCTAGTCCTAACGCACATTTATTTACCTGAAATGTTTCTTGTGAGTTTTAAATCCCAGGGAAAAGGTAGAACTTGCGTGTTAGGGATACTCTTCCCTAGTGGGCATCTGGGTCTGTTCATCTGGAATCTCAAATGAATGTTGAACCTAAAGCAGGAAAGAAAGCCCTTAGAGATTTTCTGAAAGGAAAATCTGGATGCCTCTGTCAGGAAATGAGAAAATTCACAGAATATATGCATCAAGGTTGTGGCTTGGTAATACAAAGAAGACTATGTTTTTAGCCTTTCCTTGAATACAGTGCATACACAAATGAATTTAAGCTCAAAAACAATTCTCTGGTAAATAAAGTTAACATAATCAGGGGGTACTAAAAAAAAAAATCCCACACTGGTTCTATGCAGTATTTCAAACACTTTCTCTTTATATATATTTGGAATATAGAAAGAAGTGCTAAGATGACAAGAGCTTTAGGATTCCCATAAAGGTTTTGCAAATGTCTCTATGAGGTTGCTAAGATATTAAAATTAATAATAAAACAATACGCCTACCTTTTGAAAAATGTCTTCTAAATGGTGAGAACATGAATATTCTTTGAAAGTCTTGATAAGTTGAGAAATGAAGCGAGAACCATTTGTACCAAGTCTCCAAGAAACATTATCTGAAAACAAAAGGCATCGAAATTTGGGGGGATTCAACTTTGTTTAAATGTAGAAGACTCTTGGAGCAATAGCTTCTGGATAAACCTGATTTTGGTATTTTGGAGAAGAGTGGGAGGCCAATGAAGGTAGAGATGTAATCTCAGAGTCTATGGTGGGCCCAGAGAAAATTGTCAAAGGCTGTCAACCATAAACCTCCATGGACTTTTTTGTTGTTGTTTGAGATATTTTGCTAGAGGGCACATGTGCCTGCTGGAGAGACAAAGAGAGGCAGAGAGACAGAAAGCAAGAAATCACCCCCCAGAGGGATGGCCATTCTGTAGTCTTCTCCGCCATTCTCCTCTCAGGATCTTGGGTATGCACACACGTGTGCCTGGCATAAGTTTCAAGCTGTTGGGTCTGGAACTTGAACCACGGTTGACTTCTTGAGAGTCCAGCAATGTACGCCATCTGCTTGTCCCATCCTCCATTGTTTTTTAGCAGGCAAGGGACAAACATATGGCTGCTAGGATTGGGAGTAGTGGCCAAGAGCCTAAGTTCTTTTAGGACTAAATGTATAATATATATATATATTTTAAAAATCCAACTTTTAGTACTTCCTGATTCTGAGCATCTTTTCAATCCATACTTTTTCATACTATCACTTTTTGCACTTACTGTAATATATAAAAATGTGAATGATCACTTCTTTTTACCATTCCATTGTGACTGAGTCTGTTTAGCATATAAATAATGTAAAATTTCTCTAATTATTACTTTACCTGTAGCTAGCTTCCTGTTTTTTCTTTGTTTTTACAAATGTTTCAAATTTATCTGCACATACCATTATTCATTCCATTTCCTCATATCCTGACCATACCTGTCTAGTTTCTCATGCTTTTCTCAGTTGCTAGATGATTTTGTAATTTTTAGGGTATTAAATGTCCTTAGGCATGCATCTCCCCAAGTTCTTTCTCTAATGCAGATCTCTATTCTGACTTATGCAACTGTACAACTCTCTGCTGTTTATCTTGAAGTACAATAAAGACATACATGAATCTTCTTGTAGGAGTCCCATGTGAATGAATGCGCCACAATCATCTACTTTCACACTTAAGAAACTCTGTCATCTCTTTTTGTTCATCTGCCATATCCACTGCACCGCCAGATCATAATAATTTTATGTACAAAATATTGCTTGGTTTCAACAATTTAACCTCATTGAAAGACTGTCATCACCTATGACATGGAATATTACAAGAGCACCTTGACCTGTCTCTCTCTCTTTTCACTCTTGCTGTATCCACAAAACCCTCAGAGTCATTTAAAAATGAAAGCTTTAGCATTTCATTGCTTAAATCATACTAAAATTTCTTGTTGCTATTAGGATGAGTTATTATATAAGATCTCAAATCTCCTGACCTATACACCTCCCCCTTCCTGCCTCCTTCCTAGCACTCTCCCCTAGCTCTGAACTCCACCTACCCTGACTCTGTCTTCCAAACTTCTTTGTTCTTAGGTCCTTCACACACACCACTTTCCCTGTCTACAATGTTCCTTTCTTACCCTTTGCATGGTTAATTCAAGTGCATTTTTTTTTTAACGATACTTGTGGGGACCAGCAGATGTAATCATGTAAATGATTACATTGCTGGACTCCCAGCAGCTTAAAACTCACACCAGGAGCATGTGCGTGTGTTCCCAAAAACGCTGAGAGGAAAATGGAGAAGGGATTGTGGTGTAGCCATCCTCCCCAGGGGGTGATTTCTCACATTCTGTCTGTCTCTCTGGTGAGCATATGTGCCCTATGGCAAAAATCTCTCTCTAAATAATAATAATACTTGTCAAAGTTGACCATTTTTTTTTCTTTTTGGGGGCCTGTATTTGTCCTCTAACTAATTTCTAACTCACTGGCCTTTCAATAGTCTCTATTGGGTTCAGTAACCATTTATTCTCCTCTTTCCCCATCTTCCTTCTTCTTGTTTTTGTTTTTACTATAGGAAACATGAGTTCACCACAGAGAGAGAAAGAGATAGATACACACACATACACAGGGAGAGAGAGAGAAACTGAAAAGTTACCCTAGGGGGCATGGCCACACCACCATCTCTTCTTGTCCAGTCTACTCTTGGGATTTGGGGGCATGCACCTATACATGCCTGGCATGATTTTCTAGTCACTAGGTCTGCAACTAAAACCATGCAGCCTGTCATGTGGGTTCCAGTGGCTTAACCTTCACACCACCTGCTGGCCCCCATTTTTTCTTTAATTGTGCATTTTGTGTCCTGTGCCTAGCCCAGTTGTAGAATCCAGTTGCCATGTACAAAAAAAGCAAATATGATAATTTTGCTTAGTAGACTATATTTCCTTAACTAAATTAAATCAGTCTTTCAGAGTATTAGGCCCTATGTGCCTTTATAACTTCCTTTAACAATTAAAGTGTAGAACTCTTCATTCAAATGAAATCTTATTAAAAACTCCACTATATGAAATTAATAGATGTATAGGTATTCAAGTGTTGGGGTAGAGATTGCCTTCATGGTCTTTTCCTGTTCTCCAGGCTAGACTAGGAGGGTCCTATTTCCCTTCTTATTCACATGTGGCTATGTACTGACAGTACTGGATTACCTCAAAGCTTTATGGAAAGGCATAATATCGGGCCGCACCCCAAGCCTATTGAATCAGAATTCTACATTTTAACAAGCTCCCCAAGGTTACCCTGTGTTCATTAAAGTTTGCAATCACGACAGTAGAACACTTAGAATTGTACAAATTAGATTTCTAAAATCGCCCTTGTTTTCTAAGTCATTTCTAGAACAACATTGTTGGATACCCCTTAAAAAGATTTTCTACAGGTTTGACCACAAGTGATCAAGAATGTTCTCTATTTACACTTTCTACCATGACTTTCCTGCCAAAGAAGAATTTTTATTAACGAGCTGAATTATCTGGAAGGCAGATACTTAAAAGTTAACCGATTTTATAATAGTAGTTCCCAGTAGCAAGGCAAAAGATAATAAAATGTGTGGAGCTGGTATAATAGTCTCGTTGGTTGGCTGGTGTAATTGTTAGTAGGTGATCAGCGTGGACAAATTGTGAGCCGATACTGAATTTCTGTGCCATTGCTGCATTTGACACACCAAACCAAACAAAAGCCTCTTCACTGAGTTGAAGAGTGTTTCATGTCTGGATCCTCACCAAAGTTCTATTTACTTCTAAAGTTTCCCAGCAAATAAAGATCTCTAGGTCTTTAATATTAATTTTCAGTATATTAAATCTTTCTGCCCCCTAAAATATCCCATTAATTAAGGAAGAAATGTTTTTCTCTTTGATAAGATATTATCACAGCCAAGACTGTTACCTAGAAATGAATAGGAGATTTAGAAATTCTCATAGAAACACTTACGTGGGGTGGAAGATTTGAAAGCAATGAAGTCCCTCTCCACATGGGCCTTTGTCACAGCATCATTATAGACATAACACTGCAAGGACTGGTCAAGTGCATCTGCCATGACTACTCCATCAGTGGTTGTCCAAACACTCCCAGAACCTTCTGGAAAAGACATCATGTCTTATGAAAGATGTGATATTTACACATACATCAGACACAATGTCTCTTCTCCCATTATACCCTTACTCTAGTACAATTCATTATGGCTGTTATTAAAATGCAAGTATTGGGCCAGCCAAATGGCATAGTGACTAAGGTGATAGGATCCCACATGGCCAACTGTTTAGTTCAAGTCCATGATTGGGCAACTTGAAAAACATGCCAGGCATATGTGCATCTGTGCTCATAATTCTGAGATGAGAATGGAGGAGGAGGAACTGCGGTATGGTCATTCACCCTGGGCAGGGCTTTCTCACTTTTCTTCTCTGTCTCTGTCTCTCTCCAGCAAGTTAAATGAAATGTATATTAGCATTAGAATAACTATTGAATTGTTGGAAAGGCATGACATATTTTTCAGGGTTTTCCTATGCAAAAATGGTCATATTTTCTGATGACTCAATATATCACTGGCTGAGACCAACGCAGAGCTGACATAAGTGTAGAGTATAACCCTGTTGGGAAACTAATCCCAAGTAATCAAGTCATTTCTCATTATTTAAAGCCATTTATTCTCCATTAATAAATCATACAGACTTAATACAATTTCCTTCTGGACTGAGCACTGAGTAGTATTCAAATGTCTCTCACTCATTCCTGGTACAATGAAGGTTAGATCAGGTTTATAGAAAAAAGTGAGTGGCCATTCCCCAGGGCCCCAGACTTACTGCCACGGCAGGCCTGCATGATGATGACCTTGGGTTTGTCTTTCAGATTCCGGCAGTTACGGTTGTTGAAAATTTTGAAGATGGTGTCATCATGAAGAATATCTGGGTCTTTATTTCTGTGCTTCGTCCCACAGATTCCACCCAGGATTCCGTGTGACATAAATACCAGGAATGTGCTGTCTGAGGATTGGTGCTCTTGCCGAGCAGCAAAGCACCTTAGCTCTGTTTCCATGTCCTAAAAGAAACTCCATAGTCACCGTGGAGAAACTCAATAGGAGTTCTAACTCAAATATGAGATGAGGTTCACAAGATGAGCAGGCACTAAGGAATCAGGTGATTTGGACAGAATAGAATTGTAAGCGAAATCATATTCTGATAGAGAACCAGGACATTTAAATGCATAGAATACTAAAATTAATAAAGTTTTTATATAACATCAGAGAGCACAAAGGTTTTCAACCAACCTCTGATTTCTGACAGTGCTAGGAAATGGAGTAGAATGAGAGCCAAGTGACATGACAAGTCTCCAACAGGAACATTTTCTTTGATTTGTTTTACAATAGGAATTCCTATACGTTTTTATTTAAAAAGAAAGATAGGAGAGATTGAGATTGAAAGAGACATCTCTATTGACGATTATTAGGTCATCATAAAAGTCATGAGTATTTTTCTGTGTTTTTCTGTTCATAAATGTGTCATGACTTTTCTGATGACCCAATAGAGATACCAAATTCCTTTACCATGGAATAGCAGAAAATGACATTTAAAATGTTTAATGTCATTCAGGGTATTTTTGACAGTGCCTAAACCAGAGCTTCTTTCATGTGTAGGTGAATTTTATTTATTTATTTTTGTACCAATAACTGTCTTTACACTTAGACATATAATATTGACATTATAAAAGTCACAAGTTCCTTCTCTTGTTATCAGGCATATTCAGGGCCCAGAGCTTGTGTCTTTCTCAGACCATCAAGTAATAGATGTCTCTTATATCGAAAACTTCAGAAAAACTGAGCAGCTTTAGTGAATACTATTACATAGAACTTCTATAAATCTTTGCTGTGAGACTGCATCAAAAAGCCTAAAATCCAAGGTATCCTATTTTTGAGCAAATATAATCCCTGTGATATTATATATTTGTCCTTGCTACTGTCAGGAAGAAGGTAAAACTGCTGAATAAGAAAGAGGCTCATAGGTGGTGTGGTGGTTAAGGCACAGAACTCCCACATGGTCCACCAGAGTTGGAGTCCTGGGACTGTAGGCTTGAGAATCACACTAGGTGCACGAGCATGCAAAAGAAGGAGAATGCTTGAGAAGGGACTGTGGTGTGACCTTCCTCCCTGGGGGAAAGTGAGTGATTTCTCACTTTCCTCTTACTTTCTAATTTTGTTTCTCTCTCTCTGGCAAGTGCACATGCCCAAATACAAAAACCGAAAAAAAAAAAAATTGATGAGGGAGGGAAGCTTGTCCCACTCTTTGGCGCTTACCTGAGCTGTGAGGTTCTTTTTTACAACCACCAAGTATCCGAGGTTTTTAAGTAGATTTTGCATCCTCAGAAGGTCAACTTCACAACCATATCGATCAGAAAGATATTTGAATTCTTTGTTGCAGATGATTAGGGCCAGGCGTGTTCGGCCCTCACTCTCCATCACTGGGTAAATCTACAATAAACACACACTGAATAATTTGCCCCAGGCCTCCTTCCTTTTCCCTCTAAAGTCTTGAAAACCAAAAAATAAATAAATAAAGACACTTTAATTATTATACAGTGGGTGAATAAAGAAGCTTGGAAATGGAAATATACCCTCATGAAGAAACAGAAAGGACTCAAGACTAAAAAACTGGTATTGATTATGAGTGATCACTCTAGGAAGATGGCTTTGGTGAGTTGGAAGAGAGGAGTTTGGAGAGTATTCCAGGATGGGATGAAAGAAAACGGAAATATAAAGTGAAAACCAGTAAATCAGATAACATCCAATGCCCTTTGTCCTCATCTCAAGGCATTTACAAGGAGAACTAAAACATCCCAGTAAGGCCTCATTGTCTTGTCTGAATGGTCAGTCTTGTGTCTCTCTGTCCCAAAGCATATTACCTCATCTGCCATTTTTGATGTCAGTTCCTTGAAATGATCACGAGAGCAAAGCTTCAGTGTTTCATCGTGTTGGTCACCCTGGGTTTCCTGAGGATCTAAAAGAGAGGGGGAAAAAAATTCCTATTAAGTAGTAACATCAGCCTTGCAATTATGCAGATCTTTTGCCTGTACTCTCATTCTTATTTATTTATTTATTTACAGTCATTCACTGTACATCAATACAGCATCCAAAATGAGATTTTTCCATCCCAAATACATGGTATATTGGCTCAATCAAGGCTATTACCATACATGTTATCATCAACAAATAATTTTCTATTTCTTGTTTCTTATATATTTAACTGGGTTTTTTTTTTTTTTTTGAGAGGTTTTTGCTATAGGGCATGTGCGTTTCCCACACAGAGAGAGACAGAGAGACAGAAAGTGAGATATCACCCCCCGGGGGATGGCCACGCTACAATCCTCTCTCCTCCTTTCTCCTCTCGGGATCTTGGGTACACACACACACACGACCAGCATGAGATTTAAGCCACCAGGTCCGGGACTCGAACTGTGGTTGACTACATGGGAGTCCAGCGATATTGCCATTACGCTAACTGCTGGTCTCCCCTTTTGCTGTTTTGTTTTTTCTCCCCTTGATTTCCTATCTCTCAGTCTCTGCCAATTCCCCTCCTTCTCCAACACTACCTCTGATATGTACAGTTGTTTTCCATGCCTCTTTCTTTCACATTTTATTGATTCAGTAAAGATCTTAATTTAAAAACTTTCAATAGCAAGCACAGCTGATCTGTATATATCTATGAATGCATGTCTGATTTTAGGCATAAATCTCAGTGAGCAAAGTGAAGATACTATAAAGTAGCACCTTGTTGGGGCTATCTAGCTCACTGCAGTCATTAATAGATATTAATAGGTATTTTTTCCATGCATTTTTTTATTTCAAGAGAAACAGTTTTAGTTTTAATAGACCAAATTTTTAAAATGTTAAGAGAAATTTGCTTAAAACTTAAAGCCAGGGAAAAGGTTAGAATTCAGTTCAAATAGTGAATTCTATTCTTATGGGTAGATGGACCTGTTAGCAGTTCAAGAAAAGACAAAAATCCTTAAACACAGAAATCAAAGCATCGAAGAAAATCAGTAATGTTTGAGTTTAAAGTAAAAAAAAAAAAAAATCTGTTTCACTAGTTCAGACTCAGTAATTAATCTCTCTCCTATTGAATTTACAGTGTTACTGTGGTCTGATATTTCCATTTAAACTCTGGAAGTTAACATTCAACTCCAGACTTGTCCCTACCATTAGGATGGCTATTCTCTTGGTTGTTTTAGTACTCTTATTTCTGCATGTCCTACTTTAGTTTTCCTGGTATAGCACTCCCTTCAGTACTTCATGAAGAGCTGGTCTAGTATTGATAAATTCTTTCAGGTTTTGTTTATCTGAGAATGATTTTGTCTTTTTTTCTCATATGAAAGATAACCTTGCTAGATTTAGTATTCTTGGTTGAAATTGTTTTTCACACTTAACACTTTGAATATACTTTCCCATTCTTTCCTTGCACACATTTTTTCTGATGAAAGGTCTGATATTAGTCTTATGTGATATCTTTTGAAAGTAACTTGATGTTTCTCTCTTGCCAAATGTAGTATCTTGTCTCTGTCTGTGATTTTGGTTAATCTGGTTATGATGTGCCTGGGGAAAGATCTTCTTAGGTTGATTCTATGTGGGGTCCTTTGTATTTCTTGGATCTGGATATTTGAGTGCCTCTATTGGTTTGAAAAGTTTTCTTCCAAGATTTCATGGAATAGGTTATCAATGCCCTTATTAGTTTCTTCACCTTACCTTCTGGAATACTGATAATACAGATGTTTGGGCATTTAATGGTATCTAGTATTACTCGTATGTTATTCTTATTTTTTTGTTGTTGTTGCTTATTTGCTCAGTCTTTTTGGTGAATTTTTCTAGGTCAGAGGTTTATCTTCTACATCTGAGATTCGATCTTCTGCATGATTTAATCTGCTTTTGATATTTTCAAGGGAAGTTTTGATTTCCTGTATTACAGCCTTCATCTCTAACAATTCCATTTGATTCTTTTTTTATGATGTGTATCTAATCTTTCAGATTGTGCAAGAACTTCCTCACCTCCTGGAACTCAGTATCTCTTTTCTCCTGCATCTTCTGGAGTTCATTGTCTCTCTTCTCTTGCATCTCTGTTAGCTTTGTCACTATGAATATTTTAAATTCTTTATCTGACATTTCCATGAGTTCCCTTGTATTTTCTGGCTCCTGGCTAGATCGGGGGTGGGGAGTGGGGGAAGAGGGGGGTAGGAGGGTGAAGTCTGGGCAGAGGGTCTTTGGTAGTCATAATCCCTGAATGGGGTCACTCAGAACTCAAATGTAGATGACTACTGATTGGCTTGTCCTGGCTCCTGCCTAGATGTGGGATAGCAGGAGGGTGATGACTGGCAGAGGGTCTTCAGTGGTTGTAATCGCCAAATGGGGCCACTCAGAACCCTGTACTCTCATTCTTCAGGAATGCTTTCTGACATTCCATTGAAAAGCTTATTAAACTTAACAAAAAAAAAAAAAGGAAAAACAATCATTTCATACATAAAATGTCTAGAACAAAAATCTGGAGTCCTCCCTCTTTTTCTGCTTCTTACTGGCCACTCTATGAATTTCTGTTTTTTTGTTGTTGTTGCCGCATTGATCAATCTTTTGGTATCAACTAACATTAGAGTCACATAAACAGTGAATGTGAGATTCAGAAGAAGCCTAATATTCATGTAACCTAGTCAAATCATTATTTATATACTCAAACTCTACCTTCAATATCCCTACTTTATTATTTTCACTCTCTGGAACAAGAAAGAATGGCAAAAACTTATCAGAGAAATGGAATTAATGTATACTTTTTTGGTTTCAAAACTTTGAAATTTTGAAATTCATGCATATTGATAATATGCATTTTTAAAAGAGTTATTTATTTATTTAATTCCATTTGTCATTATTATTATTTTTTAATTTGACCTGAGAGAGACATACACAGAGAGAAAGGATAGCAAAAAAGTAAGCCACCAGGTCTGAGACTTGAACCATGGTCAGCCATGTGGGAATCCAGCACCTAACCACTACGCCACCTCCTGGCCTGATAATATACATTTTCGATGAACTCTTTGAAGATTGCCTTATACCTACATTGACAGGAAGCACAATGTTCAAGGAATTCTTAAACATTTCTGTGTATCCTTAAGCATGTACCATTTAGGCATTGGTATGGATTTCTCACATCGTATCATACAGAGAACATCAAATTCCTTTTTCAATGAAGGCCCATGTATTCTTTAATAATTTTAATATATCTTGATAAGGCCATGCAGCCAACACAGACTGAACATAAAGGAGCTATATCTCATGCCTAAGCAAGGACTGGGCTGAGAAGAAACTGCAAAGCAAGACTGACAGTTATGGGCTCCAGTTTCTAACTGTGTTCTGCTATACTGGTCTGCACTCAATTTCTCTGCCATGAGCTTTACTGTTATTAAGGTACCCTGCAAGGGTAAAATAACACCCCCAGCCTTACTGCAACTTTACAATAAAGCCAATTAGTGATCCTGAACAAATGCAGTTTCCTAAGGTGATGGTGGGGATCAGGGAATTTGAGACTCCCCCACCTGCCTGTGTTAGGCCGAATTAGCATATGTTAGGTTAAGTTAGTATAAGCCAAATTAGCATACATAGCATATGAAGGCTAAGTTAGTTTAAGGCTAATTTTACATAAATACCCCTTGTAAAAGCTGTAGGCCAAATTAGATTATGTTAGACCAAGTTAACGTACCTACTGTCATGACAGGGACTCAAAGATAAAGCACAAGAATTCACTGATTAACAGACAAAAATTCAGCAAATAAAATACAGGGACCCGCGGGTTAATAGAAGAAGGACAGATCTGGCTAACAACGACATAATAAATAAACCTGAGGGCTCCAGGGGGAAAATGAACTATCTTAGCTGGGAGTTCTTATCTAGTTTGGGCAAGCAACAGATAGTCTTTAACTACAAAGAGTTTCTCATCTGCATGCTGTTAACTATGAAAAACTGCTAGTAAAACATCCTGTGCTGTCTCCTGAGCTACAAAACCCTCTCATCAAAAAAGGCCTGGTCTGGTAATCAAGATTTAAGAAGAAAACGCACTGGACAGATGGACTCCTTCGTCCTGAGGACTGTGTTTGACTTCACCTGATCAAACAGAACAGTGCATCATGTTTTCTGATTATTGTTTCCATACTTTGTATAGCCTATTTCTTAGAGTAAATCTTTTACTTCCCCCTCACCCTTTCTACTTCTGTAAAACATCCCTCAATAAATACGTATGTTTGATAGCCACTGGGGCTGCAGTCTTGAGCTGACTCTGACTAGTCAGCTGAGAACATGCTAAAGAGCGTTGAGGTTTCAGCCTGAATTTCTGCTCGCCCACATCGCCTTCCTGTGTACGAGCTTCAACCCATCCTGGTTGGAGCAGGGCCTCTGGCAATATC